AGGAACGCCTGGAGGCTGGCTTTCAGCTCAGGAGCCTGCCCTTGAGGTGTGCACAGACCTAAGGGAGCTTTATGGAAGAGCTCCTCTGAACGCCCCTTTGTGTGTTTATCTTCCCTCTGGCTGCCTGAAGAGCAGCATGTGAGAATCCCGAACCGAGACGTATCCTAGTCTCTTCCCTTCAGGCCCCCCCAGGTAAGGTGGAAGCTGCAGTGATGGCTGCCATCGATGCTGGGTAACGCCACTTTGACTGTGCCTACGTGTACCATAATGAGAAGGAAATTGTATGTGTACCAGAATGAGAAAGAAGTTGGGGAAGGGATCCAGCAGAAAATCAAGGAAGGTGTTGTGAAGCGAGAGGACCTCTTCATTGTCAGTAAGGTAAGTATGGGATGGTTTGGCATCATGGACAGGCCTGCTTTATTTGTGTTATTTTTACAATAGGGAACTAGTTTTATGCTGTAGCAATGGAGAACCTCATACTGTAAAAATGAGATCACTCCTGATGCTGCACTCTTGTTTCACTTCATCAGAACAGTGATTTGACTCTTTCCTGTCCATTTTTGTTGTTACAGCCATTGGATAGGAAGAGTGAATTCCCCGAGCTTTGGGCAGGGAGAAGAATCACCCTTATGCTGTCTGGCAGGAACTTTGTTGTCCAGTAAATTTGATAAGACTGAAGGAAGTCAAGACTTTATTTTGGCCACCCCCACCAGCCCCAACCCCAAAGTGTTGAGAGCTTGAGCCCCACAGCCCTGCACTGTGCTCTGGCACCCTGTTGAGGGGACCCAGAAGTGCAGGGGGGTGGATGATGTCCTGGTTTGAGCTGAGACAGAGTTAACTTTCTTCACAGTAGCTGGTGAGAGGCTGTGTTTTGGATTTGTCCTGAGAAGAAGGCTGACAACATACTTATGTTTACAGTTGCTGCCAGGACAGTCAAGAACTTTTCAGCTTCTCTGCTGTGCCAGTGTCTGCAGGGGCAGGAGAAGCTGGGAGGGGGCAGAGCCACAATTACTAGCCTGGAATTGTCTTGTATTTTCTTGGCTTTGCCTTCTATGTTCAGTGCAGGAGTTTTATGCATGGTTGGGGCTGACAGATAATGTGTCTTCATTTAAATCCCAGCTATTGCAAAGGCAGACCTTCTATAAAAGGCGGTAGTACAAATGATCTCTGAACTAATGGAACCAGAGGACTTTGTTCTGATCCTGCTCAAATACCTGTGCTGCCACTGCATGTACTGCCTTCAGTGTCATGGGCCAGTCTATCACAGAGCAAGCCCCATCTGAAGAGCACTAGATGGCCTAGTTCCACATGGCCTTCCAAAGAAGATGGAGCATTCCTCTCCTGTGCAGGAGTACCCAACAGCTTTAACCCAGGAGGTCACAATGTGCCTTGCTTTTCTCTAGTTATGGTGTACCTTTCATGAAAAACCTCTGGTGAAGGGAGCATGCCAGAAGACTCTTGCTGACCTGAAACTGGATTACCTGGATCTCTACCTCATCCACTGGCCTTTTGGTTTGAAGGTACAGCTACACCCCTGGATTTGCTTCTTGTGACTTCTGCTTTTGGGGAGCTGTATGGCTTTACAGCCAAATAGTTGCTCAGGCTGAGAGAGATCACGTGTCTGTGTGTGCCAGCGTTGTTCTGGTGCTCTGCTTTACTCTGGCCATGTGCGCCAGGCTCTTGATCTCTTTTCCTGAGACTGCTGCTTGCATATGCCTTTGATCCTGGGAATGATGGTCTGAAAACTGAGGGCAGATCCCCCAGCTGCAAGCATGAGATAGGCTGCTCTCCCTTCCTCTTACAAATCAGAGTATGCTCATCTGAAAATTACCCTGTGTGGGAAGGAAGGCTGTAGTTTGCTGCCTGACAGAAATTTGCTTTGTGTTACAGAATCACAGAGCAAGAAAAAATATTTGTTTTCCATTTCTCTCTTTAATCACTGTCCTTAATACAGTACAGATTGAGCTGACCTTGCCTTAGTGTTCCACTGAGACAGGAATTCAAAAGGTGAAACTTCTTGGGGGCCTAAACTCTTTCACAGATTGGTGAAGGAGTTGATGTCTCAGGTTGACTATTTCTAGTCTCAGCCTTTCCTTCATACTACAGTCTGATCAGTCTCAATCCTACCTGTTGCTTTGGAGATGCTCACCTGTAGTTTGTACTCTATTTTAACTTTATGTTAACAAAGCTGTGAAACTGAAACTGTTTTATGGGGACAGTAGCAAACAGCTGTTAAACATAGTTCAGTCTCGATGTCTTTTCATAACTTGCATGCAAATGCTTTAATAATATTCCTAGTATTCACAGCTATACATAGAGCTTTGTCATGGAAGAACTGTCACTGCACCAACTACCTCTTTTCGGCAGATCTGGTGTTGTATATACCAAAGCTACATGTTCCCAGGACCTAATTAGTCCCCTGCTACCCTTTTGGAAAAGAACAAAACAGTTTTTCCTAAGAGGGCACAAAAGAACAATACATGAAGTTAACAGAGATGAGACTGGAGGCTGTGGTTCTAAGAGGTGTGTTTTGCCATAGGTGTTTGGGTGAGTCATCTCTTTGAGGGGTCCAGCGGGAAAAGCTGTATTTATGAGAATGGTCACTTGCGAAAATGCCTTAAATTCATCCCCCTCCTCAGGAGGAAATGACTGAATGTAGACAAGAATTAGTGTTCTTCCCTGCCAAGGTGTCATGCTTGTGAGCTCTCATGGTATTAAGCAATCTCCTCAACAGATGTTCAACCATTTCTTTCTCACTGACAGGCAGGAGAGGAGCTGTTTCCCACAGATGACAAAGGCATGACTATACCCAGCAACACGGATATTCTACATACATGGGAGGTGAGTTTATCCACAGTGGAAGAATCATGTCTTGTGTCCTCGGCAGTAGTGTTAGATTCAGCAGTCACAGAATGGCTCATGCATGTATACAGAATTAGTGGGAAAGAATTCACAAAAGCATGTGGTAGTTCTTAAAAATGTGCATGGTTAGTCAAGCTCTTATTCCTCTGCACCGTGGATTAGCATCTCAAGTCACTGAGCTGCACAGTCACTTTCAGCGGAGCTGCAGACCAGACTGAGGTTAGAAAAAGTTATTTACTTGACCATAACTGTACAATTTTTCTTCACCACAGCTCTCATGCAATTCTTGAGCTGTTCAAGCGGATTTTGCATCAGTAGACACTTAGGTTGTGATCGTGCCATCCTGCTGGGGCACAGCCCTCCAGTGCTGTGACAATAGTCGACTTAGAGTCATCAGTCATTTTTTCCTTGTGTGAATTTCAGCCTTAACAATGATTTTGGGCTTTGGTGTGATAAAAGACATGACAGAGATACTACCAGTACCTACTTGCCTCTTGAGAATCAAAAACTTGGCAAGTCCAAAGAGTTACTTTGTGCTTCTCATGAAGGGAAATAAGCCACATCAGGAAGAATGGATTTAGGTTTTGTCTTGTACACTGGATGCTGACTTTGCTCCCCTTCATGTTAGGCCATGGAAGAGCTGGTGGATGCTGGCCTGGTAAAAGCCATTGGAATCTCCAACTTCAACCATGAGCAGACTGAAAGAATCCTAAACAAACCGGGACTGAAGCACAAGCCTGCAAATAACCAGGTAAGCTGCTAAGTGGCTGCAGGTGAGCAGTTTTTAGGGATTATAAAGATCTCATTACAGCTGAATGAGAATATGGAAGAAGGGAGAACAAAGACACAGCATGTACACTAAATCCCACTCTGTGGATATTCCTCAGTACAAAAAGGACCGGAATATTTCCTGTTTGTCTCACTTTGTTGAACTGGTGTCTACAAATTCTGGAGTGTTTTCCTATGAAGCATTCTTTCTGGAGGGATAAAGAATCCAGACATGATCTATCATTCTGACTGTAATCAATGACTTTTATAAAGCCTCTCAAAACAAAATCGAAAAAGCATATAAGGACTCAATATAAAAGTTGGTGCCCTGTAGAACTATAGTCTTGTATTATCACACAGACCACATGCAGGGTAGGATTAAGGCAGCCTGTAATTAAGAAATTAAGATTCATAAGAAAATCTCTGGAGCATTGGAACACTACAGTGGTTCTACACAGTGTCTACTCCTGTGTTGACAGATCGAGTGTCATCCATATCTTTCCCAGGAAAAGCTTATCAAATACTGCCAATCCAAAGGGATCACTGTGACAGCATATTGTCCGCTTGGACGCCCTGACAGGTAATTTCCAAGTGGGTTAGTGTGGTTTAGGTTTGAAGCATTCAGACTAATTGAATGAGTAATGGTGCAGGTCTGTGTGCACAATTATACATTTTTTTTTTTTTTAAATAGTCATACTAGATAGAATCTTTCTGCAGAGGTTCTTTGCCGTTTCTTCCTTTTTGTCTCTGTGTAGGGATAAGCCAGAGGAGCCTTCCCTTCTGGGTGACCCCAAGATCAAAGAGATTGCAGCCAAGCACAACAAAACCCCAGCACAGGTACGTAGGTTCCAGACAGTGGGTACTCCTTCCTGTAACACAACCATTAAGGAAACTATGCCTCAAGGGAGAGTTCAGCCTCTATCAGTGTTCCCTATGAGTTGTGGTGCTCTTCTGTGGTGTGAAGAGGCAATGCAGGTTGTCTGTGTGGCCTGCAACATATACTTGAAGAAGCGATTTGGCCCTCAGGCAGAAAAAGATTCATGACCCATTTTCAGATGTCACTTCCCCTCTCAAGTCCTCTTGCAGAGAATGAAAGCCTTGCATAGACTGATGAAAGTCCAGATGGGAAGAAAAGGAATTGACTATCCCAAAGCTGGATGGGAAAGGAGGCTTTCCAAGTGAGTCTCCAACACCTTCCTCTTTGCTATCCAGGAAGTGCTACCTAGTCCACAAGAACAGGAATGATTTAAAATGCAGCTTTGCAGAAGCAGGTGTAGCTTAGGGAAAACAGCTGTTGGAACAGGCTCTGCTTCTTCCAGAGCAGGAGCCATCCTCTCTCTGACTCAGTGGTCTGTTCTTGCAGGTTCTCCTTCGCTTCCAGATCCAGAGAAATGTGATTGCCATTCCCAAGTCAGTCACACCACAGCGCATTCTGGAGAACTTCAAGGTGAGTGATTGTGAGTGAGCTGGGTGCTGCCCTTCACAGATGGCATGGCTTCTCCTGTAAAGCAAGCAGTGATCCTTTCTCAGCATTCCCAAGTCCTCCTCAGGCAAGAGGACTGGGCTTCTGTCTGGAAGCTAGGGCTACAATGAAAACTACAGCTGGAAAAGAGAGATAAAGAGAGCTCTTTCAAACAGTGTGCTAATAACCTTACCAGTCACTTTACATCGTGTCTCCTGTTGCGTGACTTGGGGATGAAGTGGGAGGCAGGGCTTATTTGAAGCCCAAGTGCAGTAACATTCCTCAAAATAGAGAGTAAGCAATGTTAAAGGAAGAGTCCTTGTGTCAATAAACTACATTGATCCTCTGACTGTTAAGTCAGGGCTTTTTCTCCTGATATTGGACATCAAGATTTCAGGAGTAATATAGCTGGATTTATTGAAATATTAAAGTCTTCCAGATGTTTCTTTAGAAATGGAGAGGAATGCATCTTCCACAATTAGAGGCATTCTGCAACACTAAGTGCTCACCAAACACCTTGTAACAGTTGGCAGGTGCAACTGTAGCTGATGATCTCTTTTGTTTGTTTCTTCCCTCTGCCAGTAGAGTCTTGAAAATCCGAAGAGACTTTTTTGCCTTCCCCTGTCTCATGAAGCCATGATTTGTAGCTAGCACTCTTTCTGATGTGAACTTGATCTTTAATCTTGTGAATCTTGCTTCTGATTTGATTTGTTCGAAGAGGTGATTTCCAGCTGTTTTTCTTTTTAGGTGTTTGACTTTGAATTGACTGAAGAGGAGATGGCAGCCCTACTCAGCTTAAACAGAAACTGGAGGATCTGTGAAATGATCATGTAAGTGATAGCTTGTTTCCTTCGAACTTGTATTTTCAATAATCTTTATTATAATCTTATAGTACTAGCATAGCTGTTTAAATTCTGTATATTTTGAAATCTGAAATCATGTCAGGGATAAAGCATCTGTTTAACATCTTAGTGGAGTTATATTTTCACTTTATTGACTAAAGGATGAGTAAGTCATACTATGTACTCATTGTGAATCCTTTCTCCAGGAAACTTTGTGTGCCTGTATTCCAAAAGGAGGGTTCTAGTCAATAACTTTGGCTATGTCCATATTGGAGAAATGAGCATGAGGCAGTTTTAAATTTATAACTTGCAGAAACAAATTGCCATTATAAACTGATGTCAGCTCTTACATAGGTGGTTGGGGGAGGGAATGACCATCTGAAGTGCAGTATGAAGAACGACTGCTTGCAGATGTGCACCTTGGAAGCCTATAGCCAGCTAAGAAGTCTTGTCTGAAAGGCCACAGCAACTACTGTTTTCTCTGTGAGCAGTGTGAATGTTAACTCTTCATCTAGAAAGTAACCACTATTCAGTGCCTGAAAAACAGGAAGAGACTTGAACTTCTTGTTATGTGTGCCGTTTCTACACTAATAAGTCTCCTAAATTCATTCTGCAGTTACACAATTCAGAGCCTCCCTTGAAGACTCCTCTGTACAGCCAGTGTAGTTCTATATAGTGTTTCTTTCAGCCTTGAAAGTAATATTTCCTCTTTGATTTCCTTCAGGTGCAAAAATCACAAGGAGTACCCTTTCAATGCAGAATACTGAAGATGGTTTTATCCTGCTCTCCTACAGGCCTCTGGGGTCTAAGGAGCTTCTACAGTTGGCTAGAGCTGTCCACAGTGTAGCTTGCACACTGTATCTCTCCTGCCAGCAAAGGCATAGTATACATATTCAGTGACTTTGTTTGGGTTTTTCTTCTTTGGTGGAAGGAAACAGTAAAATTGTTCTAAAGAACAAAATATGGGCTATAATAATTATCTACTCATTAGATGAGTGTATCTGCATGGCTGAAATAGCAAAGCAGAAAACACAAAGAATGAACTAGGAACTGTTTTTTCTTCTGTCTTGTATTGACACTACTTAAGGTTGTAGGGTAAGGGTATGTGAGCACAGAAGAAGGATCCATCTTGAAAGAATAAACTACATAATCACTGCCTGAAGATAAGAGACAGCAATTCACTTCTGGAGCACAGCCCAAAGCTTTCTTGGAAAGAAGAATAAATGGGAGAAATGTCCAGACCTATGGATGCATACGAACTCAAACTGGGCCTTATTTTGGTCACATGCTTTTACAGGCTGAAACTGGACAGAGAATAGTGCTCAATTCCTATCCAAAACAAAAAAGTTTAGATTATTCCTGGTTTGGAAGTTCTAGTCTAGTGTGGAAAAATGACAAACCAAGCCACTTGTATCAACAATGTCATTGGAAACCATAATCCATATTAAATTTTAAATTATGTCACAGGAGCATCAAGATCTTGTCTTGATCAAAAGTTGAATAAATTGGTATAATAAGTTTTAGTTGCCAGAGCAGTGCTGACAAGAACAGTCAAGTATGACAAGCCTTAGTATGGACTGGGGATCAACAAACAACAGGACGCCAGCACCTGAAACCGCTAGAGGGCTGCATAGTGGTGTCACTGTGGACTGACTTGGTTGGTCATGGTAACTGGGACAGGTCTCTGTTAACTGTATATGTATGAGTAAAGCTTTCCCTTGGCAAAGCCTATCCCTTGTGGTGGAGGATGCAGGTGAGCCTTAGTGGGCAGTGCTAGGATAGCTAGGTGTTTCAACAGCGTGGCACTTCAGGGCTCCATAAGTGCTGTGTGCCTTGGGCTGTTGGACACAGGGAATGTGCAGTACAGCTACTGCATTCTGATTTAGAACATCCACACCAGATCAAGTTGTAGGGTCTGACAAAAGTGTATGAAGTTTGAGTTGTATCTTACGTAACTACGTGGTCTGGAAACTTCCTTGAGAACAAGATGATGAACAAGAAACTACTTTTGTAAAGGTTAATAGTATTAGGACTCAATGCTGACTGACTTCTTGTGCCATACTAACTTCTACTGTAATTTAGTGTGCAACAAGTGAATAAACTCATACAAGCTTGAGCTACTTGCATTGTACATCATTGTTTGTAGGTATGAGTGCATGTACGAAAGATGTTTAACAGATGACAGAAAGGCTGAGAGGTGAAATGTCACAGGAGTGTCAAGATCTTGCCTTGATCAGGAGTAGAATAAGTGGATATAATGAACCATTGCTGACCAGACAGTGCAAATAAGAATTGTGTGAGGAGTCTTGGTATATATGAGCTATGGATGTGAAAGTGATGGGAGAACAATACCTGGAAGGGCTGGAAAGCTATATGGTGATAGTGTGGACTGGTTTGACTGCCAGTCTGTGCTGACATCTAGCTATAAAACCCCACAATAATAGAGACTATGGGGGAACATCATTATGCAGATATCTAAAATTATGAGGACACAAGGTATAATATTATGTTTTGGTGCTGAACCACTGCCCAGAGCCTGACACTGAGACAGGCTAGAGTTGAGTGTTCTATTTCCTCTGTCCTGAGGTGAGATCACACTGACTCACTGGAGTGGTAGATGAGGGATGGTCTCAGTTAACTGTCATTCTGTGCACATGTAACAATCTCCCTGATGGGCTGTTCCTCCCCTGGTCCACTTAGTGAATTCAGCTTAGCAGTGTCACATTGCCTGGTGCTCCCTTACGCCATGACATATGCAAAAAGAACTTAAGCCTTTTAATGTGATTTAAAAAACCAAAGCTTTTGATTTCAAATAAGAGATGAACAAAACTTGCACTTTGGCTTAAGTGTTATGGTTACAAGAGAGACAGGACAATGGACCTCAGACACATTACAGCTTTAGGTATTGTTAGTACTTATTCTCACTCATTCCAACAGAAAAAAGAAACATACCATGCAAATACTCTGCTCAGCACACTGATACATTGAGATGACATAAGATATTCTAAAAGGTATATATATACAAGTCCCTAGAATATATCTAATATGCTTTTCAGATGGAGGTCATCCAAATATTTCCAACCAAAACTTCCAAAAGGATATAACAGACAACCTCAAGATTAAAGAAAAAAAAAAAAAGGAAGAAGTATTGGACCACAAATCTTAACGCCAAAACTTACTAGAGGCAAACAGAATCAGAGTTTACTGGGGCAGTGCTTGCCCCTTTGTTTTTTGGTGTTTAAGCACATTTCCATATTTGCAGTGGCCATACTTGCCTTCTACTCCCACATCAGATGCAGTAGTCTCTCTCGGGGAATTTGTCTTGCTTAACGTTAGGTGTCCACAGGGTAGGTGCAGGCACCAACCTCAGGACCAAGCTCCAGTCACAGCCAACAGATGTTTGGGCAAAACAAGGCAGCAGCATTCGGTGTGACTCATTGTGCCCAGGGCCAGGGCTGCCCTTGGCTCTGGCCCATCTTGCTTTTCAAGCTCTAGACCTAATGCACTCTCTCTCCCTCTCCTGTGAATAGAGGTGAAGTCAGCTGCACTTAATGAACACCATCCTGGGACAGTTCCCACCAATAGAACTATGTGATGCTTTTAGGGGCAGCAAGCCCTCAGAGGAGATTTGAATTTCTGTTTCAGCAGGCTAGGTGCAAATCAGACAGCCCTCCTGTTGGTAAAGATTGTTTCCACTGGGACCTACCCACTCTGATCATTTTGGGTCTTGTTCTTCTCAGATGTCAAACACTGCTCATCTCTTGAAGCTATGATTTTTGGTGAATTAGAATTATTATTTGCAAATGTCAACACACCTGAAATGTGCTACAATAAGCATCCAGATTTAGCGCAAAACCTTGGACGCAGATCAAATCAGACCCTTCCTCACACACACAGTTCCTCATCTCATGCAAGGAACCATTAGGCATTTGATCAAGCACACAGCTTGCAATATTTCCCCGGCTCACTGTCATCCACTGACATAGGCAGTACTTCTTTCCCAGAAGCCCTACCACCATCTGACAACCCCAGCCACACTTTCAGGACAGAGAAATAACTGACAGCTCCCATGTCTTGGCATGATATGGGGAAAGTCTCACACCAACAGGCACAAACAACTAAGCACAATGCAAACCTTCTGCCCAAAAGCCTTTGTTAAAAGACAGACACATCTCTCGGTCAAGAAACCATTGGGGAAAACCAAGAACCCACCTTCGCAGAAGAACATGAGTTTGCAGAAGAAGCAACGCAAAAATCTCAGGAGAAAATGAGGAAGGACAAATTGCATTTCTCAGCTGTACTCTCCACCAAGCCTCATTATATGTCATCACACACTCCTCTACCCAGCTCCTTGCCACAGGAACTCAAGGCTTTGAAACCTCTCCCCAAAAAGACAGCCTCAGAAGAATGAGAACAAATACTGTAGAGTCTCCCCATAAGAGATCCCATCTTACTGGCCAAACAGCCAGGCCTTGCAAGCCTTCACAGACTTGCAGAGCACAACTCTCTGATGGTACCAGTTCAACTTGGTGCTGCTCCAGTACAAAATCTGACTGATTCTGGCAGTTCCTACACCAAGACGTCCAACGTCTGGAGTCCAAGCACGACACTGCTGATATTAATAAACTGTCAGCACACCACCACTAGCTTGAGCATCCAGGAGATACAAAGGAGAGCAGAGGCAAACTGGTATTTCAGCCAGTCTTCAGGCTGCCCTGAAAAAGCAAATCACAGGCATGGCTCAACATGCCATTTTGTAAAAAAAAAAAAAAAAAAAAAAAAAAAAAATTGTAAAGTGCATATTGCATAAAATTTCACAGTCATCAGCAAAAAGGGACTGCCTACTAACCATGCAGGCGATCATTTTGATGTTTCAAAACAAGGTGACTTCTCTGGAGGGAGACAGTCTTTGTCAGGACAAGTTTCCACATGACTTCTGGTAATAATTAAGACCAGGACAGAGGTCAGGCATGAAAAACTGTTCTCTTTGAGTCCAGCTAACACCATGTAGTCCACTTCCCCAACAGTACACACTCTGGGCACCAGCTCTGCACCTCTGTTAACCTTAGCTCTAGTCCCTCCCCCACGATGCGCAGCGTCCA